GAGGCTGAGGCAGGATGATCCAAAGATTGAGGCCAGCCTAGGAAACTTAGTAAGATGCTGTCTTAAAATAGAAAGGGGAGAGGATATAGCTCAGTTTTTGCCTAGCATGTTCAAGGCCCTGGGCTCAGTCTCCAGTAACACACACACACACACACACACACACACACACACACACAGAGAGAGAAATCACCAAGTAAGATGGTGCATAGTTTGCAAGAGTGCTGCTTATTTCACTTTTGTTCTTAAGACTTCTTATCCTATTTTTCTCCTCTATTTGAATATATATATATATATATATATATATTATCCTATGTTCCAGTAAAGCTTAGGTGGCAAGTTCTTGCCTCTAGTGACTTAGTGATTTTGTATAGCTTTGTTACTAAGTCTAGCCCTCTAGATCTAGTTCCCCACCAGATCTAAGGTCCTCCCCTCTGCCTGCCATAATCTTTCCATCTTAATTGAACAGACAGTTTTTTCCATGCTTCTCCTCCACTTAGCCTGCCTTCTGACACAAGTCTGTGATTCATACTTAACATGAGAAAATCCTTCTCATGCCAGATTTATACCACCACCACTGTCTGTCTACCTTTTGAAGGTAACTAATGTATTTTGAAACTAGCATGTTTTTAACCCAAGTGAAAATGTTTTTTAAAATCACAAATAGCTGAAGAGAGAGGATGAGTAATGGCTAGAGTCTGGAAACTGCCAAATCACAAAAGCATGTATGATGTACTATTCTTGATGGTGAAAGCTGTAGGAAGTGTAGAGATCATTTTGGAGAAAATATGGAGGTTATATTGGAGCAAAACAAATCTTGAGAACAGAGAAAAAAAGAATGGTTATAACAGTATCTAGTGGGGAAAATGATGAAGGCCATTATAAGGGAAAGGCCTTATAATGTAGGAATGGAAACAAGGGGATGGCTACATAAAATATTAGAAAAAAGAATTGATAGGTCTTGGAAACTAATGGGATGTGGATGTGAAGAAGAGGGAAAGTAAAGGATAAAGCCCACCTTTAGGTTTGAGTAATAAATTGGGAGGGTATGTGAGTGTTCTGATCACTGGTGTGGTCAGTTGGTCACTTGGCTACCTCAGTGTGGGGGGTTGGTAGAGACACAGAGTCAACACACAGACCCCGGGAGCTGGTGAGAGCTGGCGGGTGACAACCTCAGCCGTCGTCCAGTAGCTCATTTAATGTGGAAGTGATTACAATTGAAATAGAATGCATCTTCCAATCATACATAAGCAAGCAGGTTATACAACATCTAGAAACCAATCATTTTATGATTAATGTAGCCAGGTTATGAGGAAGCTCTAAATATTGCTATGCAGTGGAAAGCAGTATGGAAAGATCTTTGGCCCTAGGGGAGGGAACCTTATAAGTCGGGGGTTTCATGCCCTGAAGCACTTAACTCTCGGTTCCTGGCCTTGTAGCTTGGCAATGCTGACCTCAAGCACTGAGGATGTGGTTTCACTGACAGCTCCCTAGAGCAGAGTGCCCCATCCTGCAGGTGTTCCTGTCAGGCCTGTATGAGCGTAGGTTTTCCTAGCACTCTGTTCTGCTCATAGCTGCTAGCTGCAAACTGAAAGTTATTCCAACAAGGTACATGAATGGGAATAAAGCAATTCAGAGAGTAAATTAGGGCTCTGATTTGGACTCGGGGAGATTGAGGCATCTATAAAATGAAATGTTCAGTACCTAACTGAGTACATGTGCCTAGAGTGCCATAGAAATATCCAGGCTGAGATAAACATCTGAGGGTAACCGGTGTAATGTAGCTGAATTGCCAATTGTGGTAAAGATACTGGAAGTGGGTGATGGATGGGCAGAGGAGGAGTTGGGAGTGCAGTTAATACAGTAAGTAGGGACAGAAGGTCTGGCAAGACATACTAACATATCAAAGCACGTGCAGAGAAAGAGCAGGAAATCAAGAATAATATCAGAGGGCTGGGATGTAGCTCAGTGATAGGATACCAGCCTGGCTTTTGCAAGGGCCTGGGTTGGATACTCAGCACCACACACACAGCATAATACAGAATCTAATGAGAGAAAATAGAGAAAGGAAGAAGTTAAATGCTCTAGAGATCAATTAAGATAAAACTATCTAACAACATGAAAATTATTGTAAAGTCAATAAGTACACTATCAGTGGAGTGTTGTAGATGGAACTCCTATTGTCATGTATATAAGATATAGTGGAAGTTGGAAAATTGAAAACTAAGTGTAGGATACTCAAGTAATTGGTATGAGCAAAAACTATACAAAGATCTGTGTAACTTTGAGAAAGGATTTCACTACACTTGAGGATGTGCATAACATATTCTGAGGGGAGAGTACCAGTGGAGACATTAAAAATAGTTAAAATCACTCTAAGATACCATCTCACTCCAGTAAGAATGGCAGTCATTATGAAGTCAAACAATAACAAGTGCTGGCGAGGATATTGGGAAAAGGGTACACTCGTACATTGCTGGTGGGACTGCAAATTGGTTCAGCCAATTTGGAAAGCAGTATGGAGATTCCTTGGAAAGCTAGGAATGGAACCACCATTTGACCCAGCTATTTCCCTTCTCTGACTATACCCAAAAGACCTAAAAAGAGCATACAACAGGGACACAGCTACACATAAATATTCATAGCAGCACAATTCACAATAGCTAGACTGTGGAACCAACCCAGATGCCCTTCAATAGATGGATTAAAAAATGTGGCATTTATACACAATGGAATATTACTCATCACTAAAAAACAACAAAATCATGGCATTTGCAGGGAAATGGATGGCATTAGAGCAGATTATGCTAAGTGAAGCTAGCCAATCCCTAAAATACAAATGCAGAATGTCTTCTTTGATATAAGGGGGTTGACTCAAAACAGAGCAAGGAAGAGCATGAGAAGAAGATTACCATTAAATAGGGATGAGAGGTGCGTGGGAATGGGAGAGAGAAGGGGAATTGCATGGAAGATAGTAGGAGACCCTCATGGTTATGCAAAATTACATATAAGATGGTGTGAGGGGGAAGATAAAAGAGAGAGAAACGTGTCACAGTAGATTGGGTAGAAGGAGGGGAGGGGAGTGGAGGGGACAGGGGATAAGGAAGGGCGGCACAATACAATAGACACTAGTATGGCCCTATGTATAAACATGGCTGTATAACCAATGTGATCCTGTAATTTGTACACTTGGAAAAATAAGATTATGTACCCCATTTGAATCAAATGTATGATATGTCAAGATCATTGTAATGTTTTGAACAACTAATAAAAAAATTAAAAAATACATAATTTGATAGTATTAAACAATAGTATTTAAAACATTTGGAGATAAGCCTGAGTCTCAGACCTATTTTGGTCTCAAATTGGTTTGAGACCCAATTTCTTAAAGCTGTGTCATTTTGGAAAAATATCTAAGTTTATTACCTCATTTTCCTCATTTGTAAAACAAAACTATATCTACCATAAAAGATGGTTGGGAAGATTTAATGAAATTATATAAAAAGTGCTTAGCACAGGGCCTAGAACATAGTATATACTCAGTAGACAATAGTATGGTCATTTTTATTATTATGGTTAGCTATTTTATATGGAAAGAAAAGAATCCAAAGGTACAGGTTGGCAAGAAAGAGGAATATCTCTTCAAATTAGAGAGAATATGTGTCAATGCACATGGATGTGATTATAAATTAAAATACATGCTTTAAAAATCCTTATCAATACTTAGGTGCGCAGCTCAAGACATCATTGTAAGGACTCTGAAGAACCTAGAAATATTATAAAATGGAACTAAAAAGGTATCCATCTGAAATTTCATATTTATATATAGACATATATGTACATATGTACACGTGTGTCTATATACATATATAAACAAATGCAACAAAATGTTTCAGTGAAAATTCATTGTGCTCTTTTCATTTCAAGTCATAAAAGAATTTTTTTATGTCCTTGTGGAGTGTCACTAACATCTAACATTGTATGTAGATTCTTCGGTGTTCTGGGATAAGGAGGGTAAAAAAAAAAGGCCCACTGCAAGATTAAAATTGCTTTTAAGTATTATGTTTGATATTAAAAGTTAATGCAAATTTTGCTCATCAGTACATTGGTATATGTTTTAATATAAAAATACTTTTACTTTACCTATATGGAGTAAACATTGCTGGTCTAAGAAGGTTTACCATGTTCCTCACTTATTCCTGGCATGCTGCAAAAAATCTTTAATTTGGATAATCAGTTTCTTAGATCTGCACCAAACAACAGTAACAAAAGTTTACTAAAATTATCTACCTTTTCTAGTTATTCTAAATTTAGACTAAAAAATATTGTGAGGTCACCACACAAAATGGTCAATTAGATTTTTTCAATCAAATGACTTTTATATAAGTATTTGAAAAACAAAAATCCTTTCTATTTAACCCATAATTTTCAATTTTGAATCCACTTTGGTCAAATAATTGTTCCTAATAAACATAAATGTAGATTATCAACAAAATGTAGCTCAAAGTAGTTTTACTTAGATTTCATTATTTCACATTTTATTTCTGTATATTACAATTAGTGAAGGTGGAAAGTATTTTTATAATGAGATACTTGTAGTTTCTCTAGCTTTTTCTTAATCTATTGGTTAATTAACACAAAGAGTTTTCTGACTTGATAACTTAGTTGTCATAGGCACAGCCAATTTCTGTGTTCATCTGTCAGAATTTTAACGAGTTCTATTTGTAATAAATCTCCACTCTAAGTGTAATAATGGGGAAATGAATGAAAAACTCAATCTTATTGAATCATGATAAAAATGGATTCAAGCCAGAAAAAGCAATTTTATGGTGATATCAACTATGTTTTCATCAAATAGGTGTGAGATAGGTTTCTCTTCCCTAATGTTGACATTTGCTACCCTTTAAACGTCAAATGAGAAGTTTCTTTCCCTTGCTCAATGAGGATCTTCAAATAATATCCATTTAATTCAAGTTATTCCAATTTCTCCTTAGAATTTTAAATTCATTTACTAAAAAAGTTTTTATTAAATGCCTACTATGGGCAAGGCACTTTTCTGGATAATTGTGTACAAAAAATACCAAGATATGTAGGCCCCTAATTAAAAAAGATGACAGTCTAATAGTCCAATAGAGACATCAAAAGTACTGACACATCTAACTCCTTTGAACATTTTCTCTCAAGTATATCTATAATCACATTCTTTAAACCATTTTCTTCTGGTACACACAATATTAACTACCACATAATATCTGGAAAGGTAATATTTTCTTCAAGACTAACCTCTAACTTTAATAGAATACATATTAAAAAAGCAGTACCCAAAATAACAAATATATGTAAACCAAAATTATAAATACAATATAGTTATATTCTAATGAAGATTTGACTGATAAATTTGTCTACTAATGCATTAAATATAAAAGTATTTGAATTAGAATGTAAGTTTTTAAAGCATAGAATTTATGAAAATGCTGATTATTTAAGTCTTCTAAAACAGTTCTTTTCCACAGAATTTGGAATTTATTAAGTACAGCAAGGTAGAATTATATGGAAAGATAAATCTAATTTTCCTAAGAAGGAAAGGTTTAGACCAAAGCAAACTAAAACATTTCAATGAATTAATTACAGCAATGAAAAGTCATAGGGAGAAAAAGAATGCGGCTCTTAATGTATCATATAATGGTTTATACTTTAAAAAGATCTCTTCAGAAAATAGTACTTCTATGATTTTAGCAAGGAATTATATAAGGAAACAAATTATGTCTCTTTTTACAGAAAGGTAAAGGTTTGCCCTAAAATAATTCCTTTTACTCCAAATAACTTCTTTATGACATATAAAATTGGCAAATTAGTCTTATTAATTGTTGAACTATTTTTAATTTTCAGATCAAGTTAACCAATTTATTCTTTTTATGCTATTTATTTTTTACACTGTTAAACTAAATAATGTTTTAAAGTTGGCAGCTTCAATTTAAGATACCATTCCAAAGAGTCATTTATAGTTTTTGTTTGTTTAGGCAGGAAAATTCATTAAAGTAAGTTCCTTTACTTTTAAGGAACTAAAAAGTAAATAACTTGGACTTTGTCACATTTTTTAGCCTGAAGACGTTTTTCAGTTGTTCATAGAAAATATATAAAGTCAGCTTGATGGCTGTAAAATCTTTTGAATGTATTTTTAAGTCTTGTCTTATTAATACTTTATAAAGAATGCAGAATATACTTTTGTATTTGGCTTTCTCAGGGCAAAGAGATATGGTTTAAAGTAATTTGCTCAGTTGGCTAAGAAATTTAAAAGGAGATTTTACTTAACTGCTTTTTGATACTGTAAGCTAATAATTTTAAAATGGATTTTTCTACATTATTTCTGAATAGAACAATAATGAAACACTCTACTATTTCATTTCAATGATGTTAATATAAATAATTAACCAAATTGTGGAAATCTTCCAATCAACCTGCCACAAACATGAACTCTAAAACATGGGTATCTTTTATAACTTCCACTTTTAATATAATGAAATATTCATTAACTGTTAATTGCACATTAAATGAAAAATTATTTTTAACAAAATTTTGTTTAAAGCATTAGGAAAATCAAATTCAAAACATAGAAATTATCAGACTATAACAATGCTGCATAGATAGTGGTATACAAATTCCCTGATGCTAATTGACTTCTTCCTAACTAAAACTTCAATTTTCAAGTCACCAAAAGAAAATGGTAGAGGCATTATTTCTTCTTTAAGGCTAGAAAAATGCCTTCAAAGGTTTGAATCACACCATTTAAAGAACAAAGATTAGATTATCTCCCAATTTAATTTTATTCCCCTCCTGTTACTTCTCAAATGTAAAAATTTAGAATGTAAGGATAATTGGAAGGGAATAAGAAGTGAATTACTAGTAGACACTGTGATCAGCGTCTGCTTTATTCAGACAAAACAGTGAATTATGTTTTAAAAATTATGACGACACCATTATATGTAACTAAAATTGCCAAGATGAATACTTTTTTACATTATACAATACATGGATACAAGAAAAAATGACCTTTTTCCTATCTTTGACCTTCAGTAGAGGGATGTGGGAAATGTTATCACAAATGAGGACTTAAAAAATTATCATGGCACAGCATTAACTCCATAGAGATCAAAATCTTTTCTGAGTACTTAAAATTGACTTAATCAGTTAATGATAAATTGCTAAAATTTCTTTCATATGAGTACTTTTTGAAAAGAAAGATACTTTATTTAGAAGGAATTTGTAGCTCGAAACACTGTTCATTTAGAAAACATTAAGTTACCCTGAGAAAGACTTTTTAAATACCAACGTTTTCAGATACCCTCACCAATGCATGAAGGCTCTCATCTCTTATGGTTACCTACCTAAAGACTATTTTGATCTAAAAAGCAATTCGAGTCTCTCCACTTTACTGGTAATAGGTCACAACCAAGACATCTGAATGTGATCAAATATAAGCAAATTTTACATTTATTTTGGGCAGGCCTCTTTTTATAAGAAGTTATATTTCTTCAAATGTTCACAGATTCAAATATACTGTTTTCAAAAAACAATCTGTTAGTCAATTGATAGTTTTCTTAAAATAGTAAACAAATTTGTTTGGTGTACATTCGCTAGTGTTTGCCTAGAAAATAAGGCATTAGTAATTCTTCAATGGCCATTGCAGAGCATAGACAACTGTTTTCTTTCTAGTCAGAGGCAAATGCAAACATTCCTGAAAGTGCAATGTTATTTTTAACATCTTTTCCAGAGTCAGCATTTATGACTCCCTACATACTTTTAGTATAAAATAATGCTTATTCCTGACACCTTACATATCCCATAATTACTCGAGAAAAGACAAAGTGAGAGCAGCTACAGAAGTAGCAAAATATTTTCCACAAATAAAAATACAGTATACAAAAATGGCAAGTTAGTGATAGTTGGTAATATGAACTCTCAATAATCCCATTCTTGAGTCCAAATTAAGATTTGACAAGTTTAAAGCCTTGTCCTGTGTCCAGCACAGTAGGAAGAAACCAACTCATTTTTAATCTTTTCAAGCATCTGAAACAAGTTTTGCAGATCCAAAAAAGGTTCAGACCACATAACCAATTTGCCAAATGCACTAATGGATATGTAATACGAGGAAAGTGTAGCATCCAGTGCTTGGCCACATCGCTTCCCGTTGGCAAGTGCAAAGTGTAGTCACTCCACCGCTTCGACACACCATACACTGCTTTCACTGTGCGTCCCTTTTCAGTCCAGCAGATGTTATTGTTGGAGTTGCAGTTATATTCTACCCAGTCCTTTGTAAAATCACCAAGCTGTGGTGGGTCAGCTTCTTCAATATCTACTGTCTTTGCCATCTCTGCTCCTTGAACAGCAATATACTGGTCATTAATCTTTCTCACTTCTTTCACCCAAGGGGTTGAATTCTCACAGTCTAATATGATAATAAGCCGGGAACAGAAGGAACCATTCTTTTCTCTCCACCATTCTAAAAGTGTGTCAAGGCGTAGTATATCTCCACCTGTGGACAAGAAAAAATTCAACAGATCAATACTTTCTGAAGCCTCTCATTAAGAATATTCTCCTAAGTATATTTAAGTTCTTAGAATTAAACATGTAAGAAAAAAAATATGAAAATATTTTAAAGATAATTATTCCAAAGTATTTTTGGAAAATGTATTTATTTTTGCCAGTGGGTTTTGTTTATTGTTCAATTTTGCAAACAACTCCCCTCAGACCAAACATTCGAGTAGTCACAGGTTGGAGATAATTTGGGGGGTGGTTCTGCATATGTTAGTTCTAGACCTGAGAGGGTTTGAAAGATCATCTGACCCAGGACAACAGCTTATTATCTATTTTGTTTTACAGTATTATTGCCAGATTCTCAACCAGTTTGTTTGATAGTGTCAAGCAAAGCCAGGCTACACCATGGTGAAATTGGTATCTGTATCTTAGAGCTATTTCAACTTCCTGAAATAGTGCATAATACCTACTAGCCAGTGTTTTTTTTTTTAATTATTATCTGTTCTTTTTAGTTATAGATGGCAGTAGAATCTATTTTGATATATGTATACAAATATGGAGTGTATCTTATTCTAATTAGGATCCCAGTTTTGTGGATGTACACAATGTTGAGATTCACTATGGTGTATTCCTATATGTACCTAGGAAAGTAATGTCAGCTTCATTCCACTGTCTTTCCTATTCCTATCCTTGCTCCCCTCCTTTCATTTCCCTTTATTTAATCCACTGAACTTCTATTCTTCCCCTCCTCACTCACCTTTCTGTGGGTTAGCATCCACATATCAGAGAATATCTGACCTTGGGTTTTTTGGGACTGGCTTATTTCACTTAGCATGATAGTCTCCAAATCCATCCATTTATGGGTAAATGTCATGAAATTATTCTTCTTTATGGATGAGTAATATTCTATTGTGTATATACTATAATTTCTTTATCCACTCACCTGTTTTTGGGCATCCAGATTGGTTCCATAGCTTAGCTATTGTGAAGTGTGTTGTTATAAACATTGATGTGTTGTCAGAAGACATTTTTAAAGCAGATTTTTCAACTTTAGGTTAAAAAATCATCCTTATTACTTCCATAAAAAATAAGTGTGCTATGATAATTTAAGAAACTTGTTTTATATATATGTATGCTCCTCAATTTGCAATGGGTTTATCCTGACAAACTCGGCCAAAGTGAAAATATTAACAATCAAAAATTCATTTAATTCAACTCACCTACCAAATATCAAAACTTAGCAACAAAGGACACTGTAAAGTGTTAGTTGTTTACTGTTGTGATTATGTGGCTATCTAAGAACTGCAGCTGGAAAGTACCTAAAGGTTATGGTACCACATATTGCAACCCTGGGAAAAGATCAAAATTCAAATTGGAAGTATGTATTTTACTGAATACATATGGCTTTTGCACCATTATAAAATTGAAAAATTGTTAAGTCACACTATTAATTGAGAAACTATAGTTAAATTCAGTAAAAATTAAAATTATATAAAAAACTTAATATTCTACACTGGGGTAGCAAACTGTAGCTTGTCAATTGTTTTTGTATGATTTTATATTTTTGCTTTGGTGAAAGAATATTTTTTGACATGAAATTATAGAGGAAATTTAAATTTCATGTAATTATTTCCAAAAATAACATTTTATTGGAATACAACACTTATTCATTTACAGTCTGGTTATGGCTGCTTTCATTCTATAATGACAGAGCTGAGAATTGGCAGTACTACAGAAAGTATGGGGCCAAAATATCTGGCCCTAAAGAGAAAGTGTCCTAACCCCTGTTCTATGCCACTAATAAATAAAATGCTTCCTTATCTTCATAAATATGTACCATTAAATGAAAACAAATATAAAAACAGCTTTCCTGTACTAAGGGTTTAAGAATGCATTTGCATTTATTTCAGTTCCAACACCAACAAAAGATTAAAAATTATATACCCAGAAAGATCTTTTAAAAATGCAATTCTAACCTATAAACCTGTCTTACAGATTCCAGGTTTTATATCTGGATCATTATAGATTTTTGCATTGATTTTTATATTTAAGAATGCTGCATTAACAGAGTATTTATTTTGATGACTTAATCTTTTACCACTCTCTTCAGGCAAATTTTTGTCATTCCCCAAGGCTACCCTCACCTCACCCGGTCCTGGCCCTGTCTCAATGACTTTGACACAGTCCTTCCAATTCTGGGAATCTATCCCCAGGAAAGAACAGAAGTGGGGACAAAAAAATTACATATAAAGATCTTCTCACTAACTTTTCACTAAAGTAGAATAAAATTTGAAATGAAGAATAGAAATAAATAATGGTATAATTTTAAGAGAATTTTTAAATTAAATATTCATAAAAACTGTATGATGAGAAAATGTTTATATTAGAGCAAGCAAAGAAGGGTATCTGCAAAAAATTGTAGCACATATTACTGGGTATTTGGATTTATGCTGGTTTTTAGAATACTTTTATACATTTTCCAATATTTTTAGAGTGAGCATATGTTACTCTTATAATTAGAAAGAATTTTAATAAGCAACAATTTATTAGCAAAACATCCAATAACCTAATATATATTTCTACCATGAGCAATCATTCTCTTTGCATAACTATCAAAAATGACACCACTAGAGAAAAAAAGAATCTTTTATATTTTCAGTTCTATTAATATAATCTCTGAAGCTAGGTTATATCACATTCTTTATGTGCAATTAATATTCTTTTATTCATCAGCCTGCTATGTCACAGACTCTGAAAATGAAAAATATGTTTAATAAATTGCTCTAACAATCATGCATACAGGAACTATTTCAACACATAATCTCTACATATGACTAATGTGCTGCACTTCACCAATACCTCCAAAAGATACTATTTTTTTTAAATGGCCAAATGTTGACTTTTCATTATCTATGGTTCTGTAAAATGTCTCTAGAGATCAGAGGATGACATAGATTACAAGAGTTATTATACAAATTCTACCTATCATAAAACATCATTGCTTATATGGCATTCACAACTCTATCAACATTCTTTAGCACATTCTACTCTAATTCTCTTATATAAAAGCTCTTTATACATCAACAAGAAAACTTAAAGCAGCATGAATTAAATTATTTCTCTTGTTTAGTTTTGCTCTGCTTTCTTGTATGAATAGGTTCTATGCTGCATTTGGCTTATGGCCCAGATGCAAAGTATTTAACATTTATCTCAGATAACAACCATCTGATGCATTTCAAGTAATTGAGACTGTTTTTTAAAGGCTTTATCTGTGATATACTACATTATAGATTATCTACATTTTTTCTTTTTATTTCTCTCTTAAAATTACTATAATTATTTTTTGCCCTACGGCAAAGAAGAAGAAGAAAAAAAATTATATTATGAAACTCCATAAATGCAAGAAGGTTACACATTCTCAGAAGTACTATAAGTAAAAGTATAGGATGAAAGGTAAAAACAGACTGCCTTTCCCACAGTAATAGTTAATTCTGGACTTACTCTCATGATTTTCCTATTTCAAAGGTTGCTAGAAAGATAACAATTAATAAATCATCCAAGCTTAAGTTCTTTGTCACTTGGTTTAGAATAGATTAAAGCATTTGCCCCAGAGCAAATGTATAATTCTATTTTCAGACAGAATCAACCTTGGAAGTCTAATGTCTAAGGCACATACTGACTGAAAAGAGGGCTTTTAGTCCTGTCCTGGCTCAATCAGGATACCTGAAAGTGAGCTGGGTGCCTCAGGCTAGGTGTGACAGATGTGGGATAAGTGAGGGCCATGTCAAGCTATGCTTTGTCTATTTTCTTTTCTTTTTATTTATTATGATAAGCACTCAACATTACACAGGAACAATCTTGACTAGTAGAATAATTCGGTAATGGTCAATTTTTTGATAGAATGCATCAAAAAATATGAAGATACTATTCCACAATGTGACTGCAAGATATTTACCTAAAATTATAACTATTTAAAGAGTTAAGTCTTAATAAATTATTCCTGGAAACTCATCATGAATGAAAATTTAAGAATACTAATTTATATACTGCTTATCTGGGTGTCTCTTACTTTCTGTAGTAAAAGAGAAAGCTGAGTAAATATTAGTAAACTGAATGCCTAGAATTTATTCCTAAGTCACCTTTAAAAAATACTTGACCCAGCATGGTGCTTCAAGCCTGTAATCCCAGCTACCTGGGAAGCTAAGGCATGATCACAAGTCCAAAGCTAGTCTCAACAATTTAGCAAGATCTGTCTCACAATAAAGAAAAAAAGGACTGGGGATATAGCTCAGCAGTAAAGTGGCCCTGTGTTTAATACCCAGTACCAAAAACAAATGCTTGAAATAAATTTTAAAATTTTAAAAAGAAAAATGAAAACTTTTAAAAAATGCTTAAATTAGGTAAGAAATCCTCATATAAACACACACAAAGTTATTTTTAGAGTACTTTTTTTCTGATATTTTAAAATAATTAGGAATATATGTATACACCAAAATCATGCCTTTTTGTTTTTTCTTTTGATCTGGGAAGAGTTTATTATAAGGCTTTGTAGTAAATTGTCAATAATCAGTCCCAACTTTTAGGTCTGAAATTTTATTTCTGTAAAGATTTTTTAATAGATTAAACTTTCTTTCTTTGATATACTTTATCTGAAACTGAAGTAGCCATAAAGGTTAAAAAAGTTATTTTCTACATTGTAATTAAAAAGTTACAGGTTAAATAAATGAGTTTATAAGCCATGTTCAGTAGTTTTAGTGTTAAATACCTTCTTGCATATTCTACATTTCTGAAAATGAGTGATCCATGCTAACAAAGGTATGTACTTAACATCAACATGGCATTTCTTTATCATCACAGTGTTTGTCTTTGGCAGCAACACAGAACAGTGGGGGAAAACACATGTCAGGGGTCAGGCAGACCTGTGCTTGAATCATGATTCTATCATTTGGTTGTATGACTATAAATTACACAGTGACTTTCAGCTTCTGTTTTATCATTTGAAAAATGAAAATATAGAGGTGATATGGCATCTACCTCAAGGGATTTCATAGAGATTAAATCTGTTTGCAAAGTACTAAACACAGTGGCTTATGCTCAAAAATATCTCCACTGTCAGTTTGCCATTAATCCTATATAGCTATTGAGTTGTTCAATATTTAATTGCAAAAAAGAAAAAATTTGAAAAAGTTTCTTTATGATAAAAACCCCAGTTACCAATCTGGCATGAAATCAGTGGGATAATGCTGACTTAAAATCATTTCTACTATAATGCTGAGGTTCTTTTCTTTTCCTTCTGGAGTTTTTATATTGGTAGGTCTTCCTCTGTCTTTTCTATACTACTTATTTTTCTTTGACATAAAAATGTTCCCTCTTATATTTTATGACTATTTTATTTTTATTATGTATTCTGGTTTTAAAACATCCAAAATCTTTTATGGAAAAAAAGGGCAAGATACAATTATGAACTGTTTATAATCTAAAATAGGAAAAATCCCTTCCCTTTTCATGTTTCTTGATTCATTCAATTATTTCATCTACCTATCAATTATTTAAGGGTCCCCTACTATGTTCCAGGTGCCATTCTAGGTTCTAAGCATTTAATATTTCATAGAACAAAGCTCTTGACTTATAGGGTCTCTATCATAGTTGAGAAGACTAACAAAATTCAAAATAGCAAAATTTTATCCTTATAATGGAACTCAATGATCATTCAATACTACCCTCTCATTTTACAGATGAAATAATTGAAACTAACAGGAGCACCCTGCTAAAATAATGGAAAAGACAGTAGAATAAATATAACATAATTTTTCTATGTATGCATAAGTGAATCCCACCATCATGCTCACCCACAAAAATGGGGTCCTAATTAGAATAAGATATATCCCCATGCTTGTATAATTTTATCAAAATGGATTCTGTCATGTATAACTAAGAAGAACTAATAAAGTTTAAGAATAAAATAAAATTATACAGTTGGGACAATTAGGACAGGTCTCCTGAACTGGCACTACTCTTACCATTTTATAATGCCTGTTTAAAATTTTAGAAAACTTTCTAATATAAGTAAAATTATACATTTGAAGACCTACTTAATTCTAGATGCAGAACATTTTAAGACTTAGAACTATTAGAGAACCTTATTAGCTGCTGAAAAATGTTACTATATTTTATAATTCTGAAATACTATTAGGGGAGACTGCTCATATATCTCAAATCAAGCAGATTTTTTTCTTCTAATTACTAGAATACATAATTCTCAAACCCTTACTGTTATGATTACTTAAAATTTTATTAAACCCATATGCTAGAGAAAAGATAATCATATGTATTCTTAGTAAGCTGTGATACGGAAAAGAGAAAATTTAATGTCTCTGTGTAAAGAACAGATTTCCATAAATATATGTGTTTTTCACAATGGCAAAATTGCCAAAGGAGAATTTACCTGCTAGAGCCCATTCTCCGGACCCATGGGTGTGCCCACTATAATACAAAACATAAGTATCATGTCTAGGTCCATCCACAGTCCGAAGTTCAAGGAAAGCTTTCAGTTTGGAATGTAGAGTATCAAAAGACAGTCCACTTGTGGAATAGTCACATCCATAAGTTTCAATCATATGATATGCAAAAAATCTTTGGATAGCGTTGAGCATACCAGTAGACCTCAAATTTAATTCTTGTACATGTTCTGGTGGAAGCAATGTGGGCTGACCATCAGGACTAAAGGAGAAAAAAATAATTTTGGTGTTTAACAAGTATTATTCTATATCACATTCTCACCTGTCATTTATCATTGATTATCTAATAATCATAATAGTTCCTGCTAAATGGCAGGATTTTAAAATTAAAGTTTTCTAAAAGCTCTATAGTGCTACTAGGCCTAGAATCAAAATGTGGTTTTGAATAATTATACTTTTTATCAATAAAATAACCAAACAAAAAACTGGAAGTATATCTCCAAAC